GAAAGTGAAATTCAAGTAAAAGTAGGGTCGTTTTGTCATTTCATCAAAATCAAGGGGCATTAATTAAGATAACGTGACATGTAGGTAGAAATTTGAAAGTTAAAGAAACTTTTTGGACGGAATAGCAAAATACTCTTAAGGACTAAATTGCAATAAAGGAAAACAAACGAAAACTTTCATTATGGGTGGGTGGGAGTTTTATTAGACACGTCATTTTTATATAAGAAAATTAAAACGTTATTTTTTCAACGGGTTTATTATTATTATTATTGTTTGAAAACTGATTTTTTTTTTTAAATTTTAAACTTATATCATAATAAACTTAAAAAATAAATTGTCATAATTTTAACAAACTTAACAAAATATTAAGAAATAAATAAAAACAACGTATTTTATTTAAATATCATATAAGAAACCATTTGAGAACAAAACTTAATTTATTGATACAAAAATAACAAAAAAAAAATAGTTGAAATAAATATTATACAGTAGTTAATTAACATTAATAGATCAATTTTATTTCCAAATTTGATTATAAAAAAGGACCCAATTTTTTAAAAAGAATTAAACTTTTATTTTTATTTTTGATTAATTAATAAAAATATTAAATTTTTAGTTTTAGTTTTTTATTTTTATTTTATTTTTATTTTTATTTTTATTTTTTTACAATATTTAACTTTTAGTTATTGGACGAGAGAACCATAAAATGTTTTGCATTAAAAAAAAATAGAATTAACAAAGTTTAGTTAATTCTTAAAACAAAATTAATAAAGCTGTTAGGGAAAGAAGGGGAAATGACGAAAATGGGCATAGGGATTGTGTTTTATAACGCGGGAGGAACTGGATGAGGTGAGTTACGCTGCTTTCTTCTTCCTCTTCTTCTTCATCTTCTTTCTTCTCTGCGATCGAACAAGGAATTGAGAAATGGCGGATTCTGCGATCGAAGTTCTCACTCGAGCTCTCTCAGGTTTAACTCTTGATTTTTCTTCTTACATTGCACGAACTGATTTTCTCTCTGATTTTTTTTGGATTTCCTCCGTCGTCTCTGTTTCTTTCTTTTTGCTCCTCTTGATTGCAAAATTTTTTGGAGTCGTTTACTCGATCTTCATTATTCTTGATTCGGAATATAGAATGAGTATGTTTTTGAGTTTTCGATCGGAAAATTACTTAATCTCTTCGATCTCCGCCGCGATTTCAGTGGCTCTGTTTCTCTGTCGCGAAAACTTCATGAACTCTTTGGTCTTTTCCGGAGAAGTACAATTTCCGGAAACGTTGATAGTTTCTCTCTGTCTATCATGCTCTATCGCAAAAACTTCATAAAGTCTTCGGTCTTCGCCGGAGAAATACGGCTTCCGGCCAGGACATCGATATCTTCTGTTTTTCTTTTCAACTGCATTATCTCTTCAGTTTTATCCGTGAAGTCGAAACATCGCTGTTATATGGATGTACGGATCGTAACGCCAGAAATTTACTTGAATAATCTTTGTTGCTTCCATTTAATTTTGTGCTCAGATTTTCTATTCCTAATTTTTGAATTTTTGTTACTTGTCTGCAATTTTCAGTATTAATTTTCTGTGAAATTACCTTTATGCCCCTGTAGATGTCCAAATATATCTTTTGCACCTTTGATAAATTTTAAAATTAGGTTTTATTGTTAATTTGTAATTAATTTTTGTTAAAATTTTTATTTCTTATATATCTATTATCTAGAAATTTTAGAAGTACTTGTATATTGTATCTCTTTTTGGTCCAAAATTGTGAATGCTGTTTTGTAAGTCGATTTAAAAATTAATTTCAAAATAAAAATGAAGAACTGTTAAATTATTTGAAAGTAATATAATTAAAATAAAATGGTCATATGATATTTCTTTCCAGTAAAAAATAGGCAAAGAAATTAGAAACAAAAGAAATACAAATGAACAGAAGATTTATAAAATGGAAACTAAAGATAATTCATTTTAAAACCTTCTACTATAATTAAGCAATGAACAGAGATCAATGCTATTGAGAAAGAGTTTTTATTCATTTATTTATAAGATCATTGCTAGTAAGAGAATTGAACCTTCACTGATAATAAAATCAATTGTTAATGTTAGAATTTATATTTAGAATAAGTTAATAATTTCTTTTTGAACATTGAATTAATTAAAATTTTAATTTTATTTATTTTTTTTTTTCATTAAAAATCATTATATTGTTTCATTTTTAATTGAAGTTTTAAGTATAAATATTTTTTGTGCGTGCAGGTTTAATCATTATATTGTTTAAGTTATAATGTTTATCCTACCCTGATATGGTTACGAGTTTATTGATATTTGTTTGTTTATATGATATGTATAGAATATAAGATAATTTATTTATTAACGGAGTATAACTTTTTTCTAACTTTAATAGAACATCATCCATTTTTTATGTCTAAATTTATAGATTTTTGAAATTTTATTCAGAGTTTTAAAATTAATACTAAAAAATAGTATTAGTAGAAAATTTAAAATAAAATTATAGATGTATATGAATATTATTGTTTTGAGAAAGAAGAAAATAATTTTGAAAAATGTGAAATGAAAACAGGGCATGGAATAAATGAGAAGGCAATGATAGATACATTGGGAAATTGGGATCACGAGCACAAGAAACTCTTCAGAATAAAGAGTAGCCATATTTTCAGTGAAGATGAACGCTCCTTTGAGCGATGGCAGGAGCATGCCATGCGACTTCTGAAGCATGAATTCATGCGTTTTAAGGTATCCTTTCTGTTTTTCCATTGTGTTGCAAACTTTTGAACAGAATTTACATGAACATATATGTGTATCATACAGAATGCTGTTGTGCTATGGACAACACATCCATGGGAAAGAGATGCTCGTTTGGTGAGGGAAGCATTGAGCAAAGGTAATCACGGCCAAAACATCAACATCCTAATAGAAGTAGCTTGTACCAGAACATCTGATGAGCTCTTGGGAGCAAGAAAGGCCTACCATTCCCTATTTGATCATTCTATTGAAGAAGATGTTGCGTCCCACATCAATGCCCCCGAACGCAAGGTTTGTTCGTGTCCGTTTCGAAACAAAACCTAAATCTCAAGGATCAAAAGTGTTAGTTGAACCCAAATGTATTTGTTTTGAAATGCAGCTTTTGGTTGCACTAATGAGTGCATATAGATACGAAGGACCAAAGTACAAGGAGGAGTTAGCAAAGTCAGAAGCAGAAAAACTTGCTCGTGCAATTAAAGAAGCAGGCAGCAAAAAGAGTAGTCTTATAGAAGACGACGAGGTTGTGAGAATACTCTCAACAAGAAGCAAACACTTCCTCCATGTCCTCTACAATCACTACAAGAAAATCTCTGCTGGTCGATCCATTGATGAGGTACTCTTATCCACCAACTACTTAAAAGACGCCTAATGAAAATGTAATGACCCTACTTTTTCATTATCTTCATTATAATATGATCATTCTTGTGCAGAAATAAGCGTTTAAACTCCATCATAAAATATAAACTTCATCTTAAAACACTTATTTCTGCACAATAATGATTTCGTTAGGATGACGGTAGTAACTCTAGGTGAGTAGAAATCTAGAGTCGTTACGGAAAAACGCATATTAGGTCCAAAGAATCTTTGGTAGCGAGAAGATATACTAATTTATGTTTTCCCATTTGGCAGGATCTTGACTGGGACTTGAAGCTTCAAGATGCAGTGTTATGCTTAGCCAATCCTGTCAAATACTTCACTCATGTATGTAAATTTCAAACCCATTACTTTTCTAATCAATACATGATCAAAATTGTTAATATGAGTTCCTATTGTGTGCTCAGATTCTGGAAGTGTCGCTGAAAGTTGATGCTGACAAGAAGGTAAAAAAAGTACTGACTCGAATCATCGTGACAAGGGCTGATAAAGACATGAAGGAGATCAAAATTGAGTTCAAAAATAAGTTTGGAGTTTCATTGGAAGAGAAGATCGAGAGTGTGTGCAATGGAAGTTACAAGGATTTCTTGCTCACTTTGCTGGCAAGATCGGATTGATTGATTGATTGATTCCACAATCAAGATCAGGTTTGATCCACCAAATTTGTTGTGTTTTAATTTATATATGTATTGCTTCTTTATTGCTTATTATGGTTCTGTGTTCTTCTCTTCTGCTATAATTAATTCATCTCAATATTGCCACTTTTATTGTGCCTTTTTTCCAACTTGTCTTTGAATAATTTATAATTTGGTGAAGGCACCAAGAGACCCAATAATTTGCCTTCTTACTAGTAAGAACTTCTATGGTTGTTTTCTGTTAGTAACTTTATAATTTTAGAGCTTATAAAAATTAAATTAAAAGTATTGATTTTTCTTGCTCCTTGGCTGAGAAATAAATCTTAATTAATTATATTGTCGGAAATGAGAAGTTTATAACAATAAAGATCTGTAATAATTATCATTTTCATTACTATTATTATTATACTTTAGTTATATTACAAGACAATTTATATTTATATTATCTTTATTATTATTATTATTATTATTATTATTATTATTATTATTATATTTTAGTTAAATTACAAGACAATTTATCATTATCATTATTATTATTTAGTTAAATTACAAGACAATTTATCACTATCATTATTATTATTATTATATTTTAGTTAAATTACACTTTAACTTTATATTTGTGTCACAAATAGATTATAGATATAAATAGTTTAATAACTGAAAAAAGTTTCAATTTTATGTCACTCCAAAATAATTCCGCAAGCTTTCAATTAAATTTTTTTTAAAAAGAAAACCCTATAATTAAAATATTAATGATCTTAAATTAAAAATATAAAAACCTACTAAATAATTTTAAATTTTAGAATTTTATTAGGCATAAAATTGAATTTTTTTTTAATATCAATAACTAATTAAGAGAAAAAGAAGGTAACAATTTTATTCAAAATGAAATTACGAAAACCTTATGAATAGAAGAGAATTTTGTGAGGGAGGTTCAAAAGAAGAAAGGGAAGCACACTGGATGTAACACAACGGAGCTAAAAGTCTTGATATTAATACAAAACCAGAAAGGTAGCGGTTCAGACGCCAAGCATATTATTACATAACAAACAACACACGTAAACACTAACAGAAAGCCGATTATTATAGATACTCATAATAGGATGATGATGATGATGATGATGATTCTTACTGCTAACAAGCAAAGCAGAGTTTAGAACCAGCTTTGTTTAGTTACCAAGAAGAGTATGGATGAAACGCTTATAGTCACCAGACTCCTTGGACACAGCATCGTCAAGGGTAACGCTGTTCCTCTTGTGATAAGCCTCCTTTATCTGCATCAAATCTTTCTCTGCCCTCGACACCACCACTCGTGTCAGCGCATCCTCATCGCTCTTCCCCACCCTCTTGATTGCATTTCTCACCACCTGAAAGAAAAAAATGAGATGGGAATATCAACAATTTGAAGCTCTTTTCAATTCTAAGAATCAGTGAAGATCTAAACGCTTAATTTTTAACATGATTTGAGTTTATTCACCTTCTCATAGTACTTGATTGGGTCATCGATGCATCGGATCACCGTTCGTAGTGCTTCTGTGAACTCTTTGCCTGCAGTATCAGTTCCCACTTGCTGCAACAAAGTGAAACTTGTTTAGATTATATAAACTGACCCGAATTTCTATTCGTCTAACATATTTAAAAGTTGTTTTGTCCTAAAATTTCATGTGGATCATACTCTAAGAGACCAAGCTCACCGTTGGCAGTTGGCAGATATTATGTTTCTTTTTTAAAAGACATCTACTAGGAAGAGGTTTCCACACCCTCAAGGGTGTTTCGCTCTCCTCCCCAACCGATGTGGGATCTCACAAACACTATCAGAATATGATCGATCTATCAGACAATTCAAACTCCACTCTCCCTCCATGCATATTGTTATATAGCGTTGTCATTTTGAAAAATCATCCATCATTTCAGAACAAGAAATAACAGAAACAGAGTAGGACCAAAAATGATGTCAATTAGTTAGTTCTGTACCTTGGAAATGGTAACACCATAGGCATCTTTGTAGTGATTGAAAGTAGCAACCAGCTGTGCCCTGCTCCTTGTGGTTAAGATCCTTATAACATCTTCATGATAGTAGGTCTTGTCTCTGACTGCGCGCTCAAGTCTCTCCGCTTCAGATTTCGCCAGGCTTAGATCTACTTCAGGTCCACTGTAACGATATGTACTCACTAATCCCACCAACAACTGCAGCACTTATATTTCGTCAGCATTGCACAGCTTCTCAACAGATGATCATACAAGATTATAATAAAATGTGTATATTTTTTAATTAAACACAAGTACTTATTCTTAATTAAAAAATCTGAAATCAATTAAGATTGCAATTATCTAATGAACATTTTCTACTTTCTAGAATGTTTTAAACGAATTTTCAAATCCCTTTCTACTCCTGAAATACTAATTCTTTATTCTGTTACCTAATTTAGAAGATGTTTATGAGTATCTAATTAAATCATTTCAAATGTAATATACAATTCTAAAAAAAGAGGCGCGGGTTGAGTTATGGACCGTGCGCAGATCGTCATTAGTGCTGGCTGCAACATCTTCCTCCAGGGAACGCTTGTAGCGGTGCTGGTAAGCCCTCCTGACCCCCAACAACTCTTCAGGTGAGTAGATGCAAGAAAGTTCAACAAGCACCGCGAAATCCTCCTTTGGCTTCCTTATGGCTATGTGGGCCAACACGGCATCTCTGTCCTCTGGATCCAGCATCCATCGGTACACCGCTCTCTGTTTCAGCCACGAAACAGTTTAACTCTAGCTACCTTACCCATCAAAACAATAAGAATCTGACCAAATCGATCATCGAAACAATTTTTTTGGCGAACAAAAACCTAGAGTTGATCTTTTCTTTTTTTCAGTGAATAAACTGCGGCGGAAAACCAAATAGGTGTTGTAATCATCGATCTGACACAATCGGCATCATCACATCGATTGTGCCGCTAATCGACGATGAGAACACATCACACATGTACGGTAAAGATTACAAAGACGATAGATGACGAAGAGAACATGATCACAACAGTAAAAGGAAAATAAAACGACGATCGATTTTCGTAAAAAGACGAAGAACGAGCAGGACTGAACTGTAAGAGCAGATGTACACAATAGTAGAAGGTATGCAATAACGATGATCGCTTTTTGAAAAAAGACAAAGAACAATGAGCAGGACTGAACTGTAAAAGCTACAGTAGTAAGCGTAGCTGATGAAGTCGATGAACACGAGCATGATCACAATGTTTAAAAAAGAAAAAAAAAAAAAAAAAAAAAAAAAAAAAAAAAAAAAAAAAAAAAAAAAAAAAAAAAAAGGAACAGAAACAGAACCTCGAAATGGCCAGAGATCTCGGATTCAAGGCGCTTGATAAGATCCTCTTGAAAAAGCTGTTCATAAGCAATCCTGATGTGTTTCCTCTGAATCCAGTTTCTATGGGCCAGGATCGAGATTATAGCCTTCTCATCGGCTCCCCAGCCTATGCAAGAGAAGAAAAACAGATTCAGAACCATAACACATCAAAGAATCGTAATCAAACAAAACAGAATGAATCAAATACAGATTCAGCAAACTAATCAATCAATCTCAACCAAACCTAACCGAGTAAATCGAATCGAATCGATACCTTTGAAAGCGGTTTTGAGAGCTTCAGCATCAACATTGGGAGAAGGAACATCGTGAGGAACATTCAAGGTAGCCATAGCCTCAAAATAACACAGCGCTTTTTCTTTCTTCTTCCCTTCACGTCTTTAGTTCTCCTTGTTTTATACAAATATCGGAAACCCGACGCCGTTTAGCCCTCCCCCAGAATTTCACATTTTTCTTTTTCTTTTTTGGAATATAAATAAATATTAGAATAAAAATAATTATAAATTCATGAACACGTGGAAAATAGTGAGTGGTTGAGTTCAGGCTTTTACCCTCGTGGTTTGGGTTCGGTCTTCGGACCTCACCGGTCGGTGAACTACAACAAAATTACTGCATACCACGTGTCAGCCGCTGCTTTGTTTGTTTTCTTAAATTAAGGGAATTAGTTGGGTAATCGTAAAAAATAGCCTCCCTAAGCTTTTCATTTTTCTAAAAAAAATATCTTTTATTTAGACCCGGGACATGAAATTACCATTTTGCCCTTTTTATTCAAAATTGATAGCGGTCCACATCCAAAATAGCTTGGTAGGTACAGAGAAGCTTCCCGCTTTTTTTTTTTTTTTTTTTTTTTTTTTTTTTTTTTTTTTTTTTTTTTTT